TGTGGGTTTGGCCCATCCTCTCTGGATGTCCTGGGTGGCCTGCAGGTGGATCAGATTCACCGCCGCTCTGCAGTCCATCAGCATGGAGTCAGGGGATGGGTCCATGTACCACTTCCGGAGTCCGACCTTGCAGTCTTCCAGTTCGGAACTTTGGAGACTCACATAAGGGAGTTCAAAGTCTGCTAACTTATGCCGAAACTGGTTTGGCTCAGTGGATAGAGCATCAGCCTGAGGACAGAAAGGTCCCAGGTTCGACTCCAACCAAGGGCATGTACCTTGGTTGCAGGCACATCCCCAGTAGGGGGTGTGCAGGAGGCAGCTGGTCTATGATTCTCTTTCATCGATGTTTCAACTCTCTGTCCCTCCCTGTAAAAAAATCAATAAATATATATTAAAAAAAAAAACAAAAAACAAAAAACAAAGTCTGCTAACTTTTTTATGACAGAGAGCTTGCCCTCCTTGCAAAACCGAATGAGAAAGAGGCCAAAGTAGCCCAAGAGCTCCCGACACAGTTCGATGTTGTGTGACACCGCCTCCAGGACCTTTTCGGGGGTGTCCGAGGTGAGGATCTCGACTTCAATGCTCCTTCCGTCGGGCAGAAGTATGTCCAGGGCGGCTTTCTTGGCGGCGATGCTGAACGTGTCCAGCTGCACCCGCTTCAAGAAATCAACGAAGACTTCACTTCTCAACACGTCTGGGTCCACAGTTACATTTTGCAAATAATGTTCCAACTGGTCCCTCCTCTCATTAGCCATAGATGTGGTCATCGTAGTACTTTGGTGGAAAGGGAGGCAGGCAGTTTCCAAAGACGCGTCTCAGCTGCTGGTCCCAGCGATGCAGCTGGCTGTAGCGCACCCTTCAGAACAGCAGCCGGTCCAGGTACGCGGATTACAGCGTGTAGCAGCCGCCCAGCGCGTCGAGCTGCTGCTGGGTCACCGGGATGCAGAACTGCGTCTTCCTGGCTCCGCGCTCCCGCATGGGTTGGGTCCGCGGTTCGGGTTGGGTCGCGGCGGGGCAGCCCGGCCTGCCATCCTAGGCTCTGAGCCCCCAGCCGTGGGCGCAGCCGGGTGGCCAGGCCGTGGGGCCGAACCCTGCGGCCAATAAATTCTTACCTACTTTGCTACAGTCCCGCGATTGAAATCTTTCCTTCAAGAAGATAAGGTTTCAAAGGAAAAGGAGAAGGAGAAGGAGGAGGAGGAGGAGGAGGAGGAGGAGGAGGAGGAGGAGGAGGAGAAGGAGAAGGAGAAGGAGAAGGAGAAGGAGAAGGAGAAGGAGAAGGAGAAGGAGAAGGAGAAGGAGAAGGAGAAGGAGAAGGAGAAGGAGAAGGAGAAGGAGAAGGAGAAGGAGAAGGAGAAGGAGAAGGAGAAGGAAGGAGAAGGAGGAGACAAGGTTTCGTAATCTCCAGACAGGCAAGACTAAAACTACAATATGGGAAAATTGGACAGAATTCTACAGTTTATGTGCATGAAAAAAAGACAGTGGAAATAGCCCAGGAATTTTCTAAAAGATGCACATTCAGGTGATAGACTATCCAGGAATGCAAGGCAGTGATTACTACAAAAGTCACAACAGTAGTTACTTTGCAAAGGAAAAAAGCAGCTGTGATGGGAATATGGTGAAAGGAGGGCCTTTTGAGGTAGCTGGAGACATGTTGACCTGGGCGGAGGTTATAATTCTGCTCACTTCCCAGCTGGTTTCTCAAACTCAGCACTATTTTTTTAAAAATATATTTTTTATTGATTTTGTACAGAGAGGAAGGGAGCGGGATAGAGAGTAAGAAACATTGATGAGAGTCATTGATCAGCTGCCTCTTGCACACCCCCTACTGGGGATATGCTTGCAGCCAAGGTACATGTCCTTGATCGGAATCTTTCCATCCCCAAGCCGGGACCTTTCTGTCCCCAAGCCGATGCCATTGAGCCAAACCGGTCTCAGCTCAGCACTATTTTTAAAAAATATATGATTTTTACAGAGAAGAAGGGAGAGGGAGAGAGAGTTAGAAGCATCCATGAGAGAGAAACATCAATCAGCTGCCTCCTGCACACCTCTTACTGGGGATGTGCCCGCAACCAAGGTACATGTCCTTGACAGGAATTGAACCCAGGACCCTTTAATCCACAAGCTGACTCTCTATCCACTGAACCAAATGGTTAGGGCTCAAACTCAGCACTGTGCTATTTAATCCTTTGTTGTGTGTGGGGGGGGGGGGAGGGGGGGGAGGAGGGGAGGAACTACCCTGTGCACTGCAGGGTGTTCATCAGCATCCTTGGCTTCTACCACTAGATCCCTTCCCCTTCTCCATATGGCAATCAAAAATCACCCTGGGCCCTGCTGGTATGGCTCAGTGGTTGAGTGTTGACCTATGAGCCAGGAGGTCATCATTCAATGCCTGGGATGCAGGCTCAATTCCTAGTAGGGGGCCTGCAGCAGGCAGCGGATCAATGATTCTCTCATCATTGATGTTTCCATCTCTCTCCCTCTCCCTTCCTCTCTGAAATCAATAAAAATATATATTTTAAAAATCACCTTGGTTGCCGAAACAGGTTTGGCTCAGTGGATAGAGCATCGGCCTGTGGACTGAAAGGTCCCAGGTTCTATTCCTGTCAAGGGCATGTACCTTGGTTGCAGGCACATCCCCAGTAGGGGGTATGCAAGAGGCAGCTGATTGATGTTTCTCTCTCATTGATGTTTCTAACTCTCTGTCCCTCTCTCTTCCTCTCTGTAAAAAAATCAATAAAATATATATATATTAAAAATCAATAAAATATATATATATATTTTTAAAAATCACCTTGGTTGAGAACCTCCCTTCACTATTCCTTAAGCTATACATTTATTTTATGTGGCTTCTTTATTTTTTTTTCAAAGGTTCTTTATTGATTTTTAGAGAGAAAGGAAGGAGAGGGAGAGAAATATTAATGTGAGTCAAGACCGGTTTGGCTCAATGGATAGAGCGTCGGCTTGGGGACTGAAGGGTCCCGGGTTCGATTCCGGTCAAGGGCATGTGCCTTGGTTGCGGGCATATCCCCAGTAGGGGGTGTGCAAGAGGCAGCTGATCGATGACTCTCTCTCATCGATGTTTGTAACTCTCTAACTCTGTCCCTTCCTCTCTGTACAAAATCAATAAAATATATTATATAAAAAAAGAAATATTAATGTGAGAGTGAGATATTGCTTGATTGACTCCTGCACACCTCCTTCCAGGGATCCGGGATCCAACTTGCAACCCGGGGATGTGCCCTAGCCTGTAATCCTGTAATCCAGTGTTTCCCAAACTTTTTTTTGTTTGTTTCCCAAACTTTTGACATATGTGTACCCCTTCTATAATTTTCGTAACGCTTAGTACCCCTCGTACTCATGAGAACATAGAATTAGGTGCAGCTAAGCACGGTGCAGTGCATATCCCCACCGAACTCCGGTGCAAAGCGTACACCCACCAAACTCTTCCCGTACCCCTGGGGGTACGCGTACCACACTTTGGGAAACACTGCAGTGTAATCGAACAGGGAACATTTCAGTACACTAGATGATGCCCAGCCGACTGAGCCACACAGGCTAGGGCTTATGGAGTTGAGTTTGCTTCTATTTTACAATAAAAATACTCTTTAAATTCCAATGAAGTGTTCATGGGAAAATTGGACAGAATTCTACAGTTTATGTGCATGAAAAAAAGACAGTGGAAATAGCCCAGGAATTTTTTAAAAGGCAGACTACCCAGTATTGAATGTGTTCTAAAGCTACAGTGTTAAAATGGAGTGGCAGTGGGACAACATAGAGGAATCTGGAATAAATAACTTGCCTCCAGGGCTCCATTGATCAGATAAAGCCTGAGAGCTTCAGATGTGCTTTTCAGCCTGTCCCTTCAGTCACCCTCCTGCCAACACATTGACCTGGTCAAAGTCCGGATATAGGGAGCTTCCTTCTTCCCTTCCTCTGCACACGCTCTCTCCCATTTGGAGCACCCTTCCTTAAACGTTACACCTCCAGCTGCCTCGCAGGACCCTCCAGGTCAGGGTTTGCCCCTCTTTTCTCCTCCCATAGACCCCAGCTCCACTCATCCCCTTACCATACACTGTAGTTTGAGTCTGCCTCTGCCTCTCAGCTTTGAGGTGCAGGATGACAGGGATTGTGTCCCCTCAGGGTCATACACAGTAGGTGCTCATAACACTAAAGTAATAAGGGGGAAAAAGCAATCTGTACAGCTGCTTTAGATAATAATATATTACAAATGGATTAGAATGTTAAAGGTATTTTTTAAATCATTAGTTCAATGAATATTTATTGCACACCTACTGTGTAACAGGGGCATTGGATAAAGTAGTGACCAAAATAAATCAATTCCCTGTCGTTAGTGGGACAGATAGGTATGTGCAGGGAAGACAGGTCAGGAAGGTGAACAGCCTGTGCAAAGACCCTGTGGTGGGAAAGACCCAGGGTCCTGGTACCTCACCCAGACACTGGGATCTGAGCATCAGTCCTACCAGCTTCCATCTAAAGAATGTTTCAAGCAGTTTTGGTCACTGCTTTATCCAATGCCCCTGGCACACAGTAGGTGTGCAATAAATGTTCGTTGAACTAATGATTTAAAATTATAATTCATATGGAATATATTATTATCTAGAGCGGCTGTACAGATTGTTTTTTTCCTGATTATTTTAGTGTTATTGAGCACCTACTGTGTTCCTGACACTGTGTATGTCCCTAAGGGGACACAATCTCCCCGGTGCATCTCCTGCTCAGAGCCTCCCATATCTCCCTAATGTCCAGTGGATCCAACCCAAGAGTCTCAGCCCTTCACTGGACAGCCCTTGGCCACCGGGCTCCTTCCCGCTGTGCCTCAGGGAACAGTCATTCCAAGCCCCGCCCCCAGGCTCTCCCACCGTCGCGGGGCCGGCCCACCCCACCTCCCCATTGGACAGTTCTGAGAATACCGGGCATTGGTTGGCTGCAGTGACCGTCAATTAGGGCCGAGGCATAGATAACCTGTTCTCGGGCTCCGAGGGGGCGGGCTCGGGCGCGGGCGCGGATGTGGCTGCGGCATCAGGTAAATCCTTGCGGGCCACCGAGGAGGACCTCGGGCGGGATGAGGAGGCGCCCCGGGAGTGGCGCCCCGGGGAGCGGTGCTGCGCCGTCAGCCCCCGCGGGCTCAGCCGCTGCGACGGGGCGGACGCCGCGCCCTCCGGCTGGGACCCTCCCGCACCGCGAGCCCCAGCGGGCAGCGCGCAGGACGGGGGGCTCTGCATTGGGGCGATCGCCTCCTCCCGCCCTCCGGGAGCCCAGAGGGGGCTTGTTCGCCCCCCAGCCGGCTCCCCCAGCCTTTCCCGCGTCCCTCCCGGACAGCCCGGGGCCCGGGTCGAGCCCCCCGCGCCGGACCGGGGTGTGCGCGGGGCGATGCGGAAACGGTGCGGGGGGGACGGCCGCCCCCGGGCCGCGGACAATGGGCAGCGGATGGAACCGCCCGGCAGCGCTTCCTGCAGGAAACGGCTCTGTCCCTGCGAGGCCGTTTGGGGGGGACGGGGAGGGAGTGGTGGGTACTCAGGGTACTGACCTGAGTACCGCCCATCTCACGCCGGCACCAGCCGACACCCCCATCTCGGGGTGTGCATGTTCCGCTCCAACTTTAGGGGGCGCCACCACCCAGGGCCTCAAGCAGGGGCAGGGTGAGAGCCGGAGGGAGTCCCCTCCCCAGGACCCGGAGCTGCACTCCGGCGGGGTTTCGTGATCGCAGCACCGAGCCCAGAAATAGTCCCGGGGGCTGGAGTGGGGGCGTCTGGCGTCAGCTCTGACGGCCTAATGAGGGGCCTCGGGCAGAGGACCCCGATCTAGCTGTGACAGCTCAGCGGGAGCGGAGGAGAGGGGAGGGCAGCTGATGCCCCAATTCCCCAGCTGCGTGAGGCTGCAGCCCCTGGAGGGTGGGGGGCCGGGGGCGGGGCGCTCCCTGCCTTCGGGGACACACGCGGGGACGGGCATGATGCCGGTGGGAGGGTCGCCTGGGCGGGAAGGGCTGTTTCCAGGAGGCCAGCAGGTGGAATGGCCAGTGCAGAAACAGTGGCAAAGCCGCCTGAGTTCGAATCCTGCTTCTGCCAGAATGTGACCTTGGGAGCATCCCTTAATCTGTTTCTCCCTATGGAGAAAGGAGAAAGATAGTGAGAAACCAACTTCAGGGGCTTAGCTAGAATTTTTTTTTTTTTAAAGCTAATTAATACCTACAGATTGCCTAGAATGGAAGCTGGTCCATTGAAAATGGAAAAAGAATCCTGGCTGGTTTGGCTCAGTGGACAGAGCATTGGCCTGCGGACTGAAGAGTCCAGGGCATGTACCTTGGTTGCAGGCTGAATCCGCAGCAGGGGGCGTGAAGGAAGCGGCCAATCCATGATTTTCTCTTCATTGATGTTTCTCTCTCTACCTCTCCCCTCCTCTCTGAGATCAATAACATATATATATCGGAAAGCGGTTTGGCTCAATGGATAGAGCGTCGGCTTGGGGACTGACGGGTTCCGGGTTCGATTCCGGTCAAGGGCATGTACCTTGGTTGTGGGCATATTCCCAGTGTGGGGTGTGCAAGAGGTGGCTGATCGATGACTCTCTCTCACTGATGTTTCTAACTCTCTATCTCTCTCCCTTCTTCTCTGTACGAAATCAATAAAATATATTTAAAAAATTTTTAAAAAATATATATATATGTATATATATATAATTTTTTTAAAAAGAAAAGATGAGACATTAAAGAGAGTAAAGAATCTTTAAAAAAGGAAAAATGGGAAGTGTTTTTATTATTCGTTACCATTCTTGGAGTATGCACCCATTTCCCCACCAGCCTCTGGGTGAGCTGCTAGGTGGTCTGGGTCTTAGGGATGGCCCACAGCTGTTCTTGGAGGTCCCAGCACCACAGATTTGGGTGTTACCCGATCACTGGAGGAGGGGGCTGTCCCCCTTTGAGCTGTGTATGAAAAGGCCCAGCCTTCTAACCCCCCACCCAGGCCTTTTCCATGGCCAAGCTTTTCTCTGGAGTTTCCTAAAAACAAGTCCTGAGAGGCACTGGATGTCCTGTGTGATGGTCCACCCTTGCTCCTGGTAAAGGGGCAGGAAACAGCTGCTTTGGGACAGGAAGAGGCTCCGGGTGGGGGAGGTCAGGGACCGAGGCTGGACAAAGGTGGGAAGTGAGAAGACAGTTAGTTTAGCACAAATGAGCGGTGGGTTAGGGAGAGGTCAGATCGGGTCTGGTAGGGAAGGGTCTCCAGAAGATGTGCAGAGGGTGTTTCCCACAATTGACTTAATTGCTTTGTACCTCAGTTTCCCCGTCTGTAAAATGTGACTATCGACCTTGCAGGATTGCAAAGGATTACATGTAACCGAGCAGGGAATACAGAAGCAGCTTGATCCTGGCAGCTGGCTTGCCCTTCCCTGAGGCTTTTCATGGGAGCTCTTTATTTTTTTATTTTTTTTTTAATTAATTAATTAATTTATTTTTACATATTTTAATGATTTTTTTTTTTGCCCCCCTCCCTCCCTCCCCCATATCCCCTCCCTCTCATGGGAGCTCTTTAAAGCCCCGTCTTTCTCACCTGTGCTTTCTGAACCCAAGTTCGGGACTCAGCGTTTGTTCTTGTAAAATCGCACATTATTAGGTGTGACTCCGTCTTCCTCAGTTTCTTAAGGCTTCCATCATGTCACCCTGACTTACTCCCCTTCCATCCCAGACACAGTTTCAGCTCTGACAACCTGGGTGCTTGTGGTTCCATCACAAACTCTTACAAGCCCAAGACAGGGCCCTGTGGCAGCCACCAGAGGATTTCCGGGGTGCAAGTATCCACTGTTTGGCATCCTTTGTGCATCTGACCCCCAACTCTGTCTTTCCTCTAAAGGCCTCAGAGGTGACCTTGGTAAACATTCACATGTAGTTGTATCTTACTTGCATTTGTCCAAGGGAAACATTCAAGTGATTCTGTGTTTTTGTTTTTTAATCTGCAGAATCTGACCAGATGAGTTCTTAATGAGCCCATGAGGGCTTCCAGTTCTTGCCTTCCTCTCCTGAAGGTTCACATTACATCCCTGTGATGATTGGCTTCTGATTTTCCCCAGCGACTGACAGAAAACTCAGATCTAGAATGACACCCATACCCGTTCCCACCTTCAGCTACTCTTGTTTTTCTTTTTTTATTGATTGAGAGAGGAAAGGAGAGGGAGAGATGGATAGAAAAATCAGTGATGAGAGGCAATCATTGATCAGCTGCCTCCTGCATGCCCCCTACTGGGGATCAAGCCTATAAGCTGGGCATGTGTGCTGACTGGAATTGAACCATGGTTTACAGGTTGATGCTCAACCACTGAACCACACCAGCTGGGCTATTCTTGTTTTCTGAATTATTTTCCTCTCTCCTTTTGATGCTCTTCCTTTCTCCTCCTGCTCAGCAGGCTGAGGCATAGCACCTGGGTGTTCCCACATTCATTTATTCTAAGGCCTCTTGGGGGAGGCTGGAGAAATGGGCACTGGTGTGTGGGGTGGGTTGTTGCAGAACTCCTGGTCTGTTTACTCAGAATCCAGGCTGACCTGAGTCACAGCCAGAAGGATAGGGTCTGAGCCTTCCCCCCTCTGGGGGCCTTTTTCAGGGTGTGTCTGGTGGCTACTCCAGGAAACATGGCCAAGTTTGCCCTGAATCAGAACCTGCCTGGTAAGTGTACAGAATGGTAAGTGTGCACAGGCCCACACTTGGTGCTGGTGTGTGGACACAACCCTGCAGTTCCCTTCTTTGCATAGTGGCCGGAGGGGCCCTCTGTGCTGCCCTGCCACACGTGGAATGTAATCTAACATCTCATGAAGGCCCGGAGTCCCCCTTTGTCTGGCCTCATCTCCCTCTCCTACTCCTCTCTCCCTCTCTTCATTATTCTTCTCTGGACCCCTCAGCTCACCCTTTATTCCAGGCCCTCCCCCCCCCACTCCCATTCTCTCCCCAACCCCCTCGCCTCCCAGGACCTTTGCATGGGCTGTTTTGTTTTAGGAACCTTCTGTCTCAGCTGATTCCTCCTCATCACTTGGCCCTACTTCACCTTATTATTGCCCTAAGCACCATTTGTAATGTTTGTGTTCATCTGTCCCCTACAAGAGGACAGAAATGTTTGTCTAGTTCGATGCTTTGTCCTCAGGAAAGTGCCTGACGTGTAGCAGGAGCCTCAATAAACGTGTGTTTGCATGACCATTTGGGTTCACATAGGCATCTGAGCCTGGGTGTGGAATGGCTTGGTGCAGACAGAGCCCTGCCAGCGTGTTGCGGAGGGGAGGGGTACCCCTGGCCTGACACCCCTCATGCCCCTGTCATGCCCGCAGATCTGGGTGGCACTCGCTTGTGCCACGGCCCGATTGGGGGCTCCCGCAGCCCGAGTTCGTCCTACACGGTGGAGACGCCCTATGGCTTCCACTTGGACCTGGATTTCCTCAAATACGTGGAGGAGCTGGAGCGCGGCCCCGTCGCCCGTCGCGCCCCCAGCGCCCAGCCCGCACGCCGTCCCCGCGCGCCCCGGGTCGGCATCACGGGCGCGCGGAGCCCAGGAGCCTGGACGTCCAGCGAGTCCCTGGCGAGTGACGATGGGGGAGCGTCGGGCGCACTCTCCCCGGGCGCGCCCGCCTGGTTCCTGCAGCCGCCGCTGTCGCCGCGCGTGCCGGTGCCGCTGCGGAACCCGCACGTGGAGGACATGCTGCTGGAGACCAGCCGGCGGCTGGAGCTGGCGCAGGAGCGCGAGCGCAGCCCTCGGGGTTCGGGCCGCAGCAGCCCGGCCCCGGGCTCCGCCGCCACCCCCGCCCCCGCCTCGCCGGGCCCGGGGCAGCTGCAGGCGGTGCGGGAGCAGATGGCCGTGGCGCTGCGGCGGCTGCGGGAGCTGGAGGAGCAGGCGCGTGCGCTGCCGCAGTTGCAGGAGCAGGTGCGCGTGCTGCGCGCGGAGAAGGCGCGGCTGCTGGCGGGGCGCCGGCTGCCCGAGGACCATGCGGAGGCCGAGGCGCGCCCGGACAAGCTCGCCCAGCTGCGGCGGCTCACCGAGCGCCTGGCGGCTCCTGAGCGCGGTGTCCGTGCCAGGGCCTGTCCCCGGGCGGACGGCCTGGACGAGGAAGCTCCGCGGGGCAGCGAGGGCGCACTCCGTGTCCTGGACGGGGCGGCCCAGACGCAGGAGCCTGGAGTCCAGGCCGTGCTGGGGACCCAAGAGGCAGAAGCCCAGGCAGTGCCGGAGACCCGGGAAGCCAACGTGCAGGCGATCCCCGAGACCGTCGAGGCGGACGCATGGGTGACGGAGGCGCTGCTGGGGCTGCCCGCCGCCGCCGAGCGCGAGCTGGAGCTGCTGCGCGCCGGCCTGGAGCACCAGTGCGGGGTGAGCGAGCTCCTGCGGGGCCGGCTGCGGGAGCTGGAGGAGGCCCGGGCGGCTACGGAGGAGGCGGTAGCGGCCGGGTCTCCGTCCCGCGAGGCTGCAACCCAGACCCCGTGGGGTTGTGTGGAGAAGTCCACGCAGACCGAGCCCCCCGCGGAGGCCCCTTCCCGGACGCAGAGCCCACCTGGACTCACCGACAGGGACAGGGCCACGGCGCCCGTGGGTGAGTCCCCACCTCCCCCGGAGCCCCGGCTTGATGACCACTGGTCTGGAATTCAGTGCCCTTATCTGATCCCTGGCAGGCGTCCTCAAATCCATCATGAAGAGGAGAGACGGAACGCCTGGCGCCCAGCCCAGCCCGGGACCCAAGAGCCTGCAGTTTGTTGGGGTCACCAATGGAGAGTGAGCATTTCCCCCTCCTCCTGACAGCGGCTGTGGGAACACGGACTGGGGTTTGAGTTCCAGCTCTACCCTCCTGGGAAATGGGGATAGCCGGTCCCACCTGGCAGGACTCGGGACCGAGCCCACAGGGGAGGGTCAGCGGATGCCTCCCAAACCGCCCCCAGGTACGAGAGCTCATCCAGTGAGGAAGACAGCGACAGCGAGGACGATGCTGCCGACCCTCTGAGGAGCAGCTCCTGTGGCTCCGAGGATGACAGCGGCCAGGGATCCGACTCGGGCACCCCGGGACCTCCCGGCAGCGGAGTCGTTCGGGAGCCGGAGCCGGAGCCCGAGCGGGAGCCAGAACCAGAGCCGGGTTCGCCGGGGAGGTGAGCAGCGCCAGAACTCTGGAGTGGGGACCGTTGTTCTCTCTCCAGTTTCCGCGCCCCCCTCCCACCACTACTGAGCCTTTCCCCACCTCCTCCGTAGGTGCGAACTGAGCCCGAGATTGAGGGAGGCGTGCGCAGCGCTGCAGCGGGAGCTGAGCCAGCCCCGTGGGGTCGCCCGTGACAGCGTGAGTGTGTGAGGTGACAGGCCTTTACACACGAAGCCGTTGAGTCCGCCCAGGACCTCTCAATATCCTTAGGGAAGCGCCTCTATGTCTAGAGTTGGGGGAGGGTCTGGAGTTCCGTCCCCTAGCGCCTGGGACCTCCACCAATCCCAGACTCCAAAGGAATCTCCCTAAAAGCATCCCGCCCGGGCACTGATCAGAGCCCCGGGCCCATTCTCTGACTCCCCAAAGAAAAGAGCTCACCAGGTCTCCCACAGGCTCTTCCCCAGAAGAGGATCCCTGCTCCTGTGAGCCCGGGGCCCAATGTACTCCCTTTTCCGAAGGGGTGCAGCCCCCCAGGCCCTCACGGCCCTCCTCAGTGACCATCCTCCCCAGCCTGGACTCCCAGCCCCAACCCCATGGCGCCGGGACCTTCGCTGATGCTCTTCCCCGTCCCCGCAGGGCGCAGCGCGCCTGGTGGCCCTGGAGTGGTTTCGAGTGTCCAGCCAGCGCCGGTCGCAGGCAGAGCTTGTAGCCGGGGTCCTGCGGGCGGTAGCACGCCTGGGACAGGAGCTGCTGGCCCACGTGGTGAACCTGGCAGACGGCAACGGGAACACAGCCCTGCACTACAGCGTGTCCCATGGCAACCTTGCCATCTCCAGCTTGCTGCTGGATACTGGTCAGCATGGAGGAGGGGTGGGCAGGCACTAGGCTAGGGGTGTCGAACTCAATCAGAGAAGGGGCCAAAACCTAATATCCAGCCTAAATCGTGGGCCGAATGGTTTACTGAACAGTCATAAACTGTCATTGTGATGGAAACGCAGCGGAGTGCAGTGATGACAGCGCGGTTCGGGCCACATTGCAAGGCCTGGCGGGACGGATTTGGCCCGTGGGCCTTGTGTTTGACACATGTGCACTAGGCAGTGGGGTGGACAGGTAGAGAGCCTGGGCAGCTGGGAAAACCTGGAGAAATGTAGAGATGGGCTGGCCAGGCAGCTGGGACCACCATGCCTTACTGGGTGTTTCAAGGGCCAACATGGACTGACCTGAGTGCTGCCCCTGACCCTTCACTCACTTTCTAGGCTTTTGAATTATGTTGTCCTAAACTTAGTGGGATTATTTTATCTCTTAGCTTCTTTAACTGTGAAATGAGAATGTATCATCTCCCTGCCTGTGTGTCAGGCATGTAGTATGAAATTCCAGCCACATGTCCAGCCAGCTGCCTTTCTAATCTTGAGGGAAGGTACTCACTAGTCAGGGCTGTGACTACCATCTTGGTCTGGGACTGTCCCCTATCCTCCAATTTCACTTCACACCTTCCCATCCCCTGCCTCAGGAAGATACATGGTTCCAGGTAGTGCTGGAGTGGGCCACCCATGCCGCTTTGCCCATGGGTCCAACTGCCCAAGAGCCCGGAGTGCCCTCCCTGGCCTGCAGGTCTTGACCAAAGTAAGGTCACAGCTACTCTGGGCTGTGGCTTGTGAGGGGGTGATGCACCAAGTTATTTTCTGGGCATCCTCTGTCATTGATGAGACCCAAGGCTCCTTGGACCCTTTCACCCTGTATTGAACCCCATTCAGCCATCAATTACCACCAGTATTCCCTATACCCCTACCTACTTGCGGTTTGTCAGCCTGGTCCAACCTCACCCAGACAAATGAACCTCATACAGGGGCTGCTTTCCTTTCATCCCTCCAACTTAGCTTCCCAGTTCCTTTATCTTGATGTATCAGCCTTACACTTGAAAGGTCACCTCCTCCAAAATCTTACTCAACAACCCTCTTCACAACTTTCACCTCCCTGGGGTCTCAGCTTCCTCTGCTATTCCCTAACTCCAACAATCCTCAATCTTAAGGGATCCCAACCCATCTAGGGACCCCAGTCATATGGGATTAGGGCCTACCATGACCTCATTTTGTTACATCTGCAAAGAGCCCGTTTTCAAGTAAGGTCACATTTACAATTCTTCAGCTACACATTCAATGTCAGTCTTGGGGAAGGGGAGGATTCCAGAGGAACATAAGTTAACAGCTTCACAGGTCATGGTGGACAATAGCATTTATTCCCGGAGTTAACAGGAAAGTTTTAAATAGACTGGACCAAATTTCTTTGTTCTATTTCTGGCTGCTGTAAGGAAAGGAGGGGCACTTGGATCAAGGTGAACAATGGTGGTTTGTAGCCATAAAAATAAACATCCTTTATTGAGTGCTAGGTGGAGGGTAGAACACAATGTGAGGGAGGAGCCACAGGACATGGTACTTGGTGGAACCACCTATAGCACAAATGAACCAGAGACTGGGAGGTGAGTGAACCAGGTTGGGCTAGGGTTGTGGGCTTGGCTCACCGATCCCCTATCTCCTAGGAGTCTGCAACGTTGACTGCCAGAACCAAGCAGGCTACTCAGCCCTCATGTTAGCTGCACTCACCTCTGTTGGGCAGGAGGACATGCCTGTGGTCCAAAGACTCTTCCAAATGGGCAACGTCAATGCCAAGGCTAGCCAGGTGCGTGGATACCTCTTCAGGAGCCAACCCTGATTTTGACCTCCCTTCCCCCAAAACCCACCCAGTCCTCTCTTCCCCACCCCTCAGACAGGGCAGACAGCCCTCATGCTGGCCATCAGCCATGGCCGACAGGACATGGTAGCAGCCCTGCTAGCATGTGGGGCTGATGTCAATGTGCAAGATGTGGACGGAGCCACAGCACTGATGTTTGCCAGTGAGTACGGGCACCTGGAAACTGTCCGGATGCTACTGGCCCAGCCAAGCTGTGATCCTGCCCTCCTGGACAATGTGAGCTACTATGGATGGGGCTGGTTGGGTAGGCAGGTTGCCCATGCCTTGGTTCACTGACCACTGACCTAACTGTCCGGTTTTCTTCAGGAGGGCACCAGTGCCCTGGCCATGGCTCTGGAGGCCGAGCAGGATGAGGTGGCTGCTCTGCTGCATGCCCACCTGAGTTCAGGCCAGCCTGGTCCCCCGGTGAGTGTAGCTCCAACCTCAAGCAACAAAACTTTACAGCTGCAGTGTGTGAGGATACCCAGCATGCTCTAGGAAGGCCTCCCATTCCTACTCCCTCAGGGAAACCCTGGGAGAACTGGGGGTTTAATCTCCTATGTGGCTGGGACATTCCCTCCATCTTACAGATTGAGACCGAGGCCTGCACAGGGAGTGACCTGATCATGATCAGAGGCGGCCTGGCAGAGTATTTGTCAGTTACTGTCCCCAAAGAGGCTCAGAGCAAAGGAGTGAAGGACCCTTTGTAGTTAGGCCTGATTGGGGAAGAAGGTGCGGGCCCCCTGCAAGTAAGAGCTTCAGAATTGGAGACTGGATCAGTTTGCCAGCAGCCAAAGGGGAAAGAGTAATTCTCAGAGCTAAACCTGCCTGGCCATCCTGCTCTTTCCAGCAGAGATGCGGGAAAGGAGGCATGGTTAAGTGCCTCTTCCAGGTCAGATGGGCTAAAGGCAGGACTCAAACCTAGGCAGCCTGGCCCCACTGTGAAGGAGTTTTTCCTCAGACATGACCACAATGGAGAGGAATGAGACTTCCACCAAGTTAAGCATCCTTGAGTCTATGGCATCTGAGACCACAGCATTGTCCATAAGACAGTGACATGACCTCCAGCACCTTTCTCACCAGTCACCCCCTGACTCTCCCCCCGCCATGCCTGGCCAAAGAGGAAGCAGTGACGATGGAGAGGACCCCCGGCCTCAGTGAACAGCCTCGCACAATGGAGATGGATATGGATAGGGTGGGGATAAGGGTTGACCTTTCCTAATAAAACATTTCTAACTAAACTTGTATCTTGTTTTAGAAGCACAAATAAACACTTGGTTTCCCTTCTTCAAAAAGGGGTAAAACCTCCCTCCCCCAGGTTTCCGGAACGCAAAGGGGCCAGTGACCCCACCAGAAGGTATTATAAGCCTAGTGACCCCAGACCAGAACCCAAATTTATACAAACACTTTATTAACAGTGGCGCATCTTCCCCGTAGGCTCTGTGTTTACCCAGCCAGCCAGGACCCTGTAAAAAGACCCAAGCATGAGATGCTGACAGGCTTCCCAGCAACTGGCAAACTCCCTCCTCCCCAGCCTCGCAGCCCGTTTCTACATCCTTACCCTCCTCCTCCAAGAGCCCCCATCCCGGGCTTGCCAAAGCCCCCCTCCCACCAGCCCGAGTGTGACAGGCCGGCGCTGTGCTCACCAGACACAAGTTCAGCGCAGCCTCCGTGCCTCTCGCTCGGACTCCAATAGGGTGAGCACGTCGCCCTCGCGCACAGGGCCTTTCACGTTGCGGATGATGGAGCGGCTCGTGTCGTCCATGAACTCCACGCGGACCTAGGAGACCCACGGGAGTGGGGTGGGGTGGGGCGGAGGCGTGTGAGCCAGATCTAGATTCAGACGGCGCGAAGGGGCGGCCCGGGAGGAAAACCAAAAAGGGCGGAGACTGGCAAAACCAAGTTGTCAAGCGCCAGAAGCTGCCACCATGGGGTGGGGGTAACTGCGGCTCTGGGCCCGCTGGGGACCGGCCCATACTCGGCCGGGCGTGTAGCCTCACAGTGTGCATGGAGACCGCTGAGCCCAGGTAAAGGGGTTCACTGGAGCTCAGACCCGGCTGGCAGGGCCTTGGTGGGGGTTCGGACCCCCCAGGAAGCCTGGGATAAGGGCTTCTCGGATTCCCAGAGGGATAGTCCCCGCCCGCTCACCTGCGTGCACTGTCCCTGGGAGCCGGTCCTGCCCAGCACCTTGGTCACCTGGAGGGAAGTAGCTGGGTCAGCACCCGGCCCGGTCCCCTCCTCCCCGCCCCACCGGCCTCACTGCGGCCCGCATCGCCCGCACTCTGCTCACCCTGGCCAGCTTGATGGGCTGCACGCGACTCGTGTCCATGATGGCGGCAACAGTCGGGGCGGAAAGGAGTCACGTGGGTTTGGGAAATCCTTTATACGCCGTCCTAGCCCCGCCCCCGCTCTCGCGAGATTATCACGTATTTCCCAGCAGCCCCCGCTGCAGCACCGCCGCCGGCGCCCTTCATCGCGGAGAGAAGATGGCGTCCGCCACCCGGATTATCCAGAAGCTGCGGAACTGGGCCTCCGGGGTGCGCGCGGCGGGGAGGAAGGGCCGCGCGGGGATGGGCGTGGGGGGCTGCGAGCTCCGACGCCCGGGACCCGCTCCTTCTCTCTGTCCTGTACCCTAGTCTGAACGCCTCGGTGCCAGATCTCCCCGGCCAGGCCCCTCGCTCAGCCCGGGACCCCGAACTCTGGAGGCCTTCAGCCTGCGACACACCCACTTCCACTCCCACCCTTTGCCAGGGACACACCCACCTCCACTCCCACCCTTTGGCAGGAGACCTGGCATCTCCCCAGTTCCTGACCGTATTAGCCTTGGACCTGGTGGTCCCGGCCCCGACTTTTCCTTTTCACAGGGCCCATATCCCTGGCTCCACATGCCCATCTCTCTCCTTCCCTTCATCTCTCCATCCCTGGGCTGTCCCTCTCCCTCCTGGGGTGCCCTGCTGGCTGACCTCCTTCCTTTCCTCCTCCCACAGCACAACTTGCAGGCGAAGCTGCAGCTACGTTACCAGGAGATCTCCAAGCGGTGAGCAGGCCCCACTCGCCGCTCAAACCCTCGCCCTGTTCTGCCCTTCTTTCACCAAAGCAAAGCCCGTGTTCCTTTTAGACCCTGAAGCCCTGAGCCAGAATCCTGCCTCCAGCTTCCTTGCCAATTGGTGGTATCATCCCCAAGCAATAGGTGGGGGAAAAGAATTGAGGCGTGGAGAGACTAAATCATTTGATTAAAGCCATTCAGAAGCTAGAAAGTGACACCTGGGACTTGAACCCAGAAGTGTCTTGATTTCAACTCATTAATGTCCAAAAACTGCTTGAAATTTACAAGCCCTTGCCATGTCCTCAGCCTTGGGGATACCAGTGCAAACAAGAGAAGTTCTGGTCCTCATTCCTTCATATCCTAGGGAGAGAAAAACGTAGGGAAAAAACACAGCAGGCAAAAAAACAAAACACAAACAAACAAAAAAACCCCGTTATTCTGGAATGCTCCAAAGATAAATGTGAGTAATCTGGAGGGTTACTATCCCAGGTCATGTGGGTCAGGAAAAGTTTCTTTTCAGGGATTGACATTTGACTCACCTAAATGTTGAGAAGGAGCCAAAGGATAATTATTGAATAAATTTTCTGGGCAGAGAGAACAATAAGCATGAGGCTGTAAGGCCCAACAGAGCCAGAAGTAGGAAGGAGGCCAATGTGTCGGATACACAGGCAGGAAAGGGGGATAGCAGAATAAAATTAAGTCTGTGGCAGGCAAAGGCAAGGCAGTGCTGGAGAGTTGGCAGTAAAGGCATAAAAATGGACTAATAACCAAATTGACTAATTCCTAATATCAAAAGTTTAAGTTGATTTTTCATCCAGGGTTTGGGTCAATTGAGGAAACTTGTAAAATTTTCAGCTTCTTTAGGGTATTGGCGTCCCCTAGTATTTCATTTGGGCTTTCCCTTTCAGCACTGGTTCTTTTTATTATTATTATTATTAATTGATTTCAGAGAGAAAAGGAGACATTAATGACGAGCCTGGCCAGGTAGCGTGGCTCAGGGGTTGAGCATCGACCTATGAGCCACCATTTGATTCCTGGATTGAGGGTTCAATCCCCAGGGAGGGGAGTGCAGGAGGCAGCCGATCAGTGATTCTCATTGATGTTTCTATCATTCTCTCCCTCTCCCCTGCTCTCTGAAATAAATTTTTAAAAAAGGAGGCTTGGAATACAAGGTGCTCTTTGATTTATAAGCCTTCATCCCTGCGGGGTTCTCCAGAGCAGCGGTCACCAACTTCTCAGACATCATGAACCGCTGTCCACGGACCACCAGTTGGCGACCGCTGCTCCAGAGAGTTCCTGAAATAGCAGAGAACCCAGAATTTGTGTAGTCTAGCCTTTGGGAAGGAAACCCCTCAGAATGAGCTATGTTTAGAGCTTGTTGCCCAAGCTTTTACTGATTAACTACTAGATAGGTAGTGGGAGAGCCTCTCAGCCTGGCTTCTCCATTTCCTGAGCATCTTCAGCTGCCAAGCTTTGGGTCATGGGGAGGGTGGGAACAGGCCTACGTGTTCAGACTGGGCCTACCCCTTCCATGGGTTTTGCATTCGGAGCAGGTAGGGGACCTGCAAAGGAGTAGACCTAGCTCTCACATCCAAAGCCTGGGCTGCCACCTGCTTGAAGGCTCTGGATCCTCCAGGCATGACCCTCCTTGACAGTGTACCAAGGGATACCCCTGGCCTGCAGCCTGTCCTAGTGACAGGTGACCAGCCACGCCCAGCCAGGCAGTGAGTACACTTAGGGCTTTGCTTTAATGCCGATGTCCTTTTTCCTTAGAACTCAGCCTCCTCCCAGGCTCCCGGTGGGCCCCAGCCACAAGCTCTCCAACAATTACTACTGTACTCGTGACGGCCGCAGGGAAGCCACGCCACCTTCCATCATCATGTCCTCACAGAAGGCGCTGGTGTCAGGCAAGTCAGAAAGGTGAGGATGCCACACACTCCTGCAGCCAGCCTGCTCTCTTGCCTCTGCTTTTCAAGGTTCCATTTACCTAGCATCAACTGTGTTGGGAACTGTGTTACCAGGAACTTTTCATCCGCAAACTCACTTAATCCCCCCCCCCCATCCCACTGGCCTCAGGCAGGGGTGGGTTTCCTATAAATCAGATAAAGTTCCAGGGCCCTTTAGTTTCAGGTGTACAGTATAATCATTTGATATCTGTATATATTGTAAAATGATCACCACAGTAAATCTACTTAGTGTTCCTCATTTTACATAGTTACAAATTTTTTTTTGTAATGAGAACTTTTTAAAAAAATGTATTGATTTAAAAAAAATACATTTTATTGATTTTTTTACAGAGAGGAAGAGAGAGGGATAGAGTTAGAAATATCGATGAGAGAGAATCACCGATCAGCTGCTTCTTGCACACCCCGTACTGGGGGTTTGCCCGCAACCAAGGTACATGTCCTTGTCCGGAATCAAACCCAGGACCCTTCAGTCCACAGGCTGACGCTCTATCCACTGAGCCAAACCGGTTTCAGAAAAAAAAAAAAAAAATGTATTGATTTTTTACAGAGAGTAAGGAAGAGGGAGAGGGATAGAAACATAGATCAGCTGCCTCCTGCACACCTCCTAATGGGGGTGTGCCGGTAACCAAGATACATGCCCTTGACCGGAATTGAACCTGGGACCTTTTAGTCCGTAGGCCAATGCTCTATCCACTGAGCCAAACCGGTTAGGACTGTAATGAGAACTTTTAACATCTCTCTTAGCAACTTTCAATATACAATACAATACAATATCACCCAGGCCCTGTCCCCAGTCAGGGTGGAGGTGTCGATCAGGGGCGGGGCCAGCTGGGGCAACTGTGGGTGATTGGTTGTCCAGCTGGCCCTGCCCCCTGGTCAAACTCCCAGTGGAGGGGACAATTTGCATATTAGCCTTTTATTATATAGGATAGTCACCATATTGTATATTATATCCCCAGAACTTATTTTGTAAATAGAAGCTTGTACCTTTTAACCCCCTTTGCCCACCCCCCACCCCCACCCCTGGCAATCTTTTCTCTGTATCAGTGAGCTGGTGTGTGTGTTTTTTAGATACCACATATAAGTGAGGTCATATGGTTCTTGTCTTTCTCTGTCTGACTTATTTCACTGAGCTTAATACCTTCTAGTCCTCTAGGACCATCCGTATTGCTAAGATATCATTCCTCTTCCAGCTCAGCTTTGGCAGCCTCTGAGAAGAAGGCGGTGACACCAGCTCCTCCCATACAGAAGTGGGAGCTGTCCCAGGACCAGCCTTACCTGTGATACTGCTCTGGGCCACCGGACTGTGTCCTCAGGGCGACCCAGGGTGACCGAAGGCTTCCCCTCCTCTTCTTCCATTCTGGGAGAACGTGACCTAACTTATGACAAATATATTATATTGTGCTCTCTAGTATCACTTCCATCTTTACATATATATATATATATTGATTTCAGAGAAGAAAGGAAAGGGAGAGAGAGAGAGACACATCAGTGATGATTGACTGCCTCCTGCATGCCCCCTACTGGGGACCAAGTGTACAACCTGGGCATGTGCCCTGACCAGGAATTGAACTGTGACCTATTTCATAGGTTGACACTCAATCACTGAGCCATGCCAGCTGGGCCATTTTTACTTTTAAAGTGACACTGGGTTTACTTGGATTTTGGGGTGAAGTTGGTGCCAAATCTCTTAATTCTGTCAGTGCTTCAGGGACAGAGAGGGATAGTTCACGGGCTCCAGGGTGACATGTCACAGACATGGATGACATGGTACAGGGGGCCCAGAGATATCCCATTCCTTCTCAGAGGGCGTGGCTCTATCCCTGAGAGTGGTGGGCTGGCTTTCAGGGCCTTGGGCGGGCTCTGACAGAAGACTGGGCCAAAGACATACTGCTCACTCACTCAAGAGCTCCGCCAGCCATTGCTCATGTGGACATTGGCTAGTACCCTCCCACCGTGGCCCCTGCCTGACTTTGATCACCTTGCAGCTCAGCAGGGAAGGCAGAGGGCAGCAAGGTGGCTCACAAGTAAAGCTCACCTAGGACAGCTGAGGAAAGGCCTCCCTGCGCCAGAATCCTTGCTGCTCAGGGCCTCGGGGTAGAGGGTGAGGCAGAGTCAGCCAGGGAAGTAAGGGGCTTGTGCCTGTGGAGGAATGAGCAGGAGAGTAAAAGCCAAAACAAAGTGGTCCCATTCTGGCTGCAGGAGCAGCACTGACCTCAAGTGGGGAGTGGCATGGCTGCCCCATGAGAACCCTGCACCCTTTCCAAAGGTTTAGATCAGCTGTGTGCCAGGGGAGTGGAAGTGGAGAGCAAGGCAGGAAAGGGTCACAGGCAGGAGGTATAAGTGGACCAGAGTGGGCATCTCCAAATGCTAAAAGCTCACCAGAGGTAGGAAGCCCCGCAGGCTAAAACACCTGGTAGGACTTCCTGGAGGAGGGGGTTTTGGTTGGGGTAAATGGTAAGTGATAAGTCAGATTCAGGAAGGCAGTAGGGGAAAGAAGGCTGAACAGGGTATGGAAGCTTCAAGGAGGGCAACCCTGGAGGGCTTCAGAAGACCCAAGGCAAGATGTGCCATTGAAGGTGTCAATAGTTTTATGACCCAGACTTGAAATTTGGCGAGGGAGTAAAATAGGACACCTGAGCTCTTTCTGTGTGCTAGGTACAGTTCTGAATGCTTCCTACCCATGATCTCTGCTCCTTTGATCCTGTGAGCTCACCACTGTTGTCAAGCCTCCAACAGCCTTTAAGGCCAGACACTCCTACCCCCAGTCCTATTTGCTACTCTTCCCACCTGCTTTTGCATCTTTGCTTCTTAACCATTTCCCCTGAGAGATTATCATCAGAAAATAAAACTACTCCAAAAGCGGCTATAACTTCTAACATTTTCAGATAGTGAAATGTGCCATCGACCGGCAAATAGGACCATTTCTGTGAAAATATGTACGCTATAGTGTAGCTTCACAGGAACGGAGTGGTAAATACTTGTATGTCCGGCATAATGCTGAAGGACAGTGATTGGTCTGGATGAGGTCTTGCTGGCGGTGGGACTTGCTTCTGAAGACAGAGCTGTAGGTGAAGATATTTTCTAGAAGAGAACACAGAAATCAGATCGGCTAGAAAGCTTGCAGAAGGTTTGTTATGTGCCTTCTGGGTGAGTGTGAGAAGTGAAAACCCAAGGATTGCCTTCACATATCTTGTTCCAGAAGTGAAGAAAAATACTTCCCTATTGGGTACACGAGGACTAAATGAGACCCTGAGCGTGAGTGACCCAGGTGCCAGGGACAGGATGTTCATTTTTTTTTTTTTTTTTTTTTTTTAAAGGAACTAAGTTCTTAGGTCGTCTGGGAAACCAGATGGGCTGAGCCCCCAAATGGCGCCAGCCAGGATGTTTATATTTAAAAGCCTACTAGGTAGTAGGCCCTGGGGACGCAAGAACAGCATTCCTGAACTCCTAGGCCTGACGGTACAGTTGGGAATCAGACACTAAACCAAAATAAGTAAATAAATTCTATAATGTGTCGGGTGCACGAAAGAAATACAGTAAAGAGGGAAGCAACACCATCTGTCAGCTGCACAAAAGATCAGAAGGCGGGGATGGGGCGTGTCTGAGGGGAGTGGTTGCCATATTAAATACGACAGGCAGTACACATGCTGTGGCATTCATGTAGAACGTTAAATGTACTTAGACGTCAACAAGTTCGTTTCCACCCCTCCGTTCTTTCGCTGTACCCTATCGCAGGGAAAAGTGCGAAAGTCTCAAATCGCGGGCCCTCGCATTCGGGCATTTACGGTAAGCTTGGCGGCCAGACAGCTGTGCTCGGCCCCGCCCCCGGCGGGTGCGCGTGCGCGGGAACCAGAGCTGCTCCGGAGCCAGACCGCGCGCCGCGCCGGCTGGAGGCACGCTGAGCGCGCGGAGCGGGTGGATGGCGCTGGGAGCAGCGCAGCGGACCGCGGCTCTGGGGCTGGCCCTGCAGCTGCTGCTCGGCTTCGTGCCGGGCCTGGAGGCAGCCCCGCGCCGGCCCCGGCCCCGGTCCCGGCCCCAGACCATAGGTGAGTGAGCTCCGCGCTGCCCGTGCGCCCACCTGGCCAGCCGCCGCGCTTCGTCCCCGCCGGCTCCGCTTCGCCATTGGCTGCGCCGCGCTCCGTCCGGACACTCCTCCCGCTTGTGGCTGTTGACTCTGGGACACTGCGAGTTCTCACCGATGGGAGAGTTCGCTGCCTGCCTGTAACTACCGTGCTCTGGCCCTGCGCACACCCGCGCTAGCTCTGCTTTGCCGTCACCCGTTGCTACCTCCAGCCGTCCGTCCTTGAGCCCAGTGCGGGCTCGCCCCGGGCCCTGGCTGACCGACCTCTAGCGCTGCGGGGTCGGTCACCTGGTACCTGGTACTTGGTCCCTTCCGCTGGGCAGCGCCTTCCACACCCTCTGTCGGAGCTGAGGCCATGTGGCTGTTTCCTCGGCGGCCGTCCTCCCACCTCCCAATCTCTGCACTTTTCTCCTCTAGCCTTAGAGAACGCAAGGTCTCCCTCCCGGTGACCCCTGGCCGATGTGATGTTGGTGGCTGTCTCGGGTTCCCAGAGGCACGGGGAGGGTTAGAGTGGCCTCCGTGTGTGCAAAGGTGCCCCTGACTTTGAGCTGTGAGCTCAGGTTGGCACACGTGGGGTCTCCTTTTCTCTGGTCCTCTACCTCATCCCCAAGTCCCTGCCATTTCAGGTTAAATGTGCCGTAAGGAAGGCAGGACTCATGTTAACCAAGGACCAAGCCCTTTACATACAAGCGGTCTCCTCAGGACACTGAGGTAGGGACTCCTAGCTGCCCCATTTACAGGTTAGAAAACCAAGGCTGGGAGGAGAATCGCTGGTCTGGCCCCAGCCTTAGGAGGTGGAGTCAACTCTGCTCTGCTGCCACTTTACAAAGGGACACACTCCAGCAGGCCAGGGGAGGTGTCGTTGCTTGTCCAGGCCCGGACTGGCCAGGCCTGGGGAGTAGCTGAGCCTGGATGCGGGCAGGGAAGGATCCAGCTCCAGGCTGTCTACAGCTCTTCCCGCTCCACAGAGCTCGGACTGTGTGGCCTGCAGCAGCGGTTGGGCCTGGAGGTCCGTAGAGGAACCCGCGGTGGAGAGGGGGTGTTTGGAGGCTCAGGCCCCTGTGAGTAAAGTGGACCAGCATCAAATGGGGCCAGGCTGGGGCCACGCCAGGGATTTGCCACCCATCTTGCTAAATATTAATACATCTAGGAGGAAGCCCTAAGACTAGTCACTCTCTTGCTCTGTCCCTCAAACTCGGGTTCCAGTTCTCCTGTGCTCCTCCAGGTCAGCACACAGCCGGTCCCTTGCTGTCAGGGATCCAGGAAGACTCAGATCTCTACCTGAGTGTGACCCGTGTTCACTTACTGTCAGGCACCACCCTGGGCTTTCGGTCAGTCACAAGGTCATGGTGCTGGCACACTGAGTGTCCGGTCTAATCCGCGTCAGTTTGAAGACGGTGGTTGTAAGTGGGAAGCAGAACCTCAGGAGGCTCTGAGAGGGACAGGAAGCCCCTCCTAGGAAACAGATTGGGATCTGGGGCTGAGGAGGAAATCACCAGGTGGAGTGGAGGGAAGGGAGGGTATCCTGGGCCGAGACAGAGGCCCTGAGGTGGAACGAGCCAGGCTTTGTGAAGAGGAAAACGTGGGAGGAAGCGAGCTTCCAGGAAGGGCTCAGGGCTGGGCCAGGCCTTGTGGGTCACTGGGCGGAGGTAGGATTTGGTGGTGAGGGGGCTGGTGGCCAGGAGACGGCTTTGAGCTGGCGGGTGGCGTGGTCACCAAACAATGTGCCAGCGAGGTCCCCAGCGCCCAGATGGAGATGAGGTTGGGGGCCTGGTCAGGATGCGGAAAGTGGTCAGATGTGGAGGAGTTTAGGAGCTAAGATGATAAAGCAGGGTGACAGCTGATCTTTTACCCCTTTGTTAAGTAGGTGGCATGTCATGGCCTGACCCAGAGCAGGTTCAGAGAGGGCCCCTCCCCGAGTCTGTTTCACCATGCGGTTTGGAGAGAATCCTGGGGAGACCATCTGACCCTGGGGAGCTTGGTAATGACTCCAGTGTCAGTGAGGCCTGGGCTCCATCCCTGCCTCTGCCTACGGTTCTGCTGCTTCTGGCCTTACATCTCCTCAGTGATCTCTTCAGAGCGGGGAATCGCAGGAGAACGGCCCAGTAGGGCTTGTGGTGAGGCTGTGAAGTCTTCGGCTTCCAGCCCCACATCTGGTGGGTCCTCAGCAAAGGCGCCCACCCATTCGGTGCCAGCGGCCTGGGACCGGCCCGCCTCCCGGTGTTCGCAGCCTGGGACTCCCGGACTTCTGGAGCCAGGCCGCCCAGGCTCACTGTGTCCATCCCGCAGGCTTCCCCCCAGGCTTCCAGTGCCGCGGCGGCAGCTACGCTGTGCCCCTCGCCTGGCGATGCGACGGTGACCCGGACTGCCCTGATGGCAGCGATGAGGAGGAGTGCAGTGAGTGGTCGCAGCTCGGGGCGGGGCTTGCAAGGATGGGGCCACAGGCAGCGATGCTTGTGGAAGGGGGCACAGTGGGGTAGGGCCTGGTGGGGAGGGAGGGGGCTGTCAGGAGGGAAGTCTGGGTCTCGGGTTTGAGAAGAGGCGCGTTTACACGGAGGTGGGGTTAGTGTGGTCTTGGGCCAGGAGGCTTGGGAGAGGTTGGGCTGTGGGGAGTACCTGGGCCCTGTTGTGAGGGCGCCGGGCACCTGACTGACTCTGTACCCCAGAGACCGAGCCGTGCACCCAGGACGGGCAGTGCTCCCCGCCCGGGGGCAGCCCTTGCTCTTGTGACAGCATCGATGACTGCCCCGATGACATGGACAAGATCCTTCTCAACTGTGGCCGCCAGCCCTGCCCGGCTGGGGAGTTCTACTGCCTGCTGGACAGCACCTGCATCCTGCACACCTGGCTCTGTGACGGCCACCCCGACTGTTCCGACTCCAGTGACGAGCTGGGCTGTGGTATGTGCCAGGGACCTCCTCATGGCTGTAGCCGGGGGGAGGGCTGGTCGTTACCTAAGGATGTCTGACAGCACGTGTGCGACCAAGCTGCGAGTGTGGGCTTGTGCCTCAGCTCTTGTCTGCATACCTGTGGGGGCAGGGAGAGGTCACTCCTAGCACCACTGCTCACCAGCCGCACTCAGCCTGGGGTGGAGGATGTGCCTCAAGGTCTCCCTCAGGCACATGGAGAACCTGCTCACCCCTCCCCCCTCCCCCCCACCACACACATACGCCCCTTCCCCAGCTCATGAATGCCTGGATTTATTGCAGGAACTGAGACCCCCCAGCAAGGCATGTCTGTGACCTTGGAGAGCGTCACCTATTTCGGGAATGCCACAGCCACCTTTGTCAGGAACCAGGACTCCGTCCCGTCTGGAAACCGAAGTGCCTATGGGGTTATTGCAGCTGCTGGTATGACGAGCACCCCACTCCTACCCCCGGGCCTGGGGCAGCTGCTCCTAGGAGCTGGGGCTTGGGGAGGAACAGGCTGCAGACCCCACCCCATGCATTAGGGTCTTTGTGGGAGTGGGGCTCCTTCCGCTCCCTCAGCCAGCCCCATCTGTCTGCTCCCCACAGTGGTGCTAAGTGCAGGCTTGGTTGCCGCCATTCTGCTCGTGTTGTCCCGGCTCCTGTGCCCGCCGGGGCTGCTGGCGGCCGTGAAGGAGTCCCTGCTGGTGTCAGAGAAGAAGACCTCGCCGCTCTGACGGGGAGCTCTCGCCATCATGGTGCCGGGGCCCTGGGTGTGGCAGCCGTGGGGAGTGCATGCGGCCGCTGGCACACCTGGCTCAGCTATGGGCTCTTCCGACCACAGCACTGCAGACCGAGTTCCTGTGGACTTGACCCTGGAGATTGGATGAGCCCCTGAATGTGGGGAGCCTGGATGGGAACATGCCCCACTGGGGTGGGCCCCAGACCGCTCCAGAGTGGCCTGCCATAGACACTGCTCCTGCCATAGACACTGCTCCTGTCCTGCCCCGTCTGAGGGCGGGGATTAAAGTGATTTTGCATCATCTGCCGGCTTCTGGGCCTCTGTCTCCCTCTGCTGGCCATTCTGGGCAGCAGCCCACCTCTGTGGCCATTCTGCTGCTTGCTTCCCGGGGCCCAGAGCAGGGGCGGTGGGGCAGTCTGCATTACCCACAGGCTTCTTCCAGGAGGGCAGAGCTTGGGCATTGCCTCCTGGAGTCAGAGGATCCCTGTCTATCATGGCTGCCTCTTTGAGATGGCAGCTGATTTATGCTCCACCGCATTTTAAAATGTAGTTTTATTATTCAGGTTTGAGAAGGCCAACAGATCAGGAGAGGACACGTTGTCCTTGGCTGGTGTGGCTCAGAGGTTGAGCATTGACCTATGAATCAGGAGGTCATGGTTTGATTCCCAGTTGGCACATGCCCAGGTTGCAGGTTCAATCCCCAGTAGGGGGCATGCAGGAGGTGGCTGATCAATGGTTATCTCTCTCATTAATGTTTCTATCTCTTTTTTCCTCTCTGAAAAAAAAAGACTGCCCTAGCTGATTTGGCTCAGTGGATAGAGCATCAGTCTGCAGACTGAAGGGTCCCAGGTTCGATTCTGGCCAAGGGCACATGCCTGGGTTGCAGGTTCAATTCCCAGTGGGTGGTGTGTGGGAGGCAACTGATCAATGATTCTCTCTCATCATTGATGTTTCTCTCTCTCTCTTCCTCTCTGAAATCTATATATATATTTATATATTAAATAAATATTATATATATATATAGATATAGATAGATATATATATATTGTATATTAAAAAAAAGAAAAGATACATCGTGTCCTGGACACTGTTTCACCAGTGGTTAGAGCATTGGCCCATACACCAAAAGGTTGTGGGTTTGATTTTCAGCCAAGGGAACATACCTGAGCTGCAGGTTCAATCCCTGACCCTGGTTAGGTTATGAGCAGGAGGCAACCAATAGATGTGTCTCTTTCACATCTATGTTTCTCCCTCTCTCCCCCTCCCTCCACTCTCCAAAAATCAGTGGAAAAAAATAATCTTGAGTGAGGATTAACAAAGAAGAAAAATGTAACTAAGAGGAGGGCCCACCTCTGCAGGTAGGGCCACACAGTCAGGAGGCAGAGGGCAGGAGAGAAGGCCAGAGCCATGACTGTGGTTGCCACCGGAGGGTAGGTGAGGGGTAGGTGAGGCAGGGTAAGCAGGCCTGGACTGCGAGTTGGGATAGTCTCACTGGGCTCGGCACAGGCACTGTCTGTTCTGCGTCAGTCTGTTGACAGATGCATTCAGCTAGGAAGGCCTGAGGCACACCTGGGTGTTGTGTTCTGTCTCAACACATTCCCTGACCAGAGCCAGTGTTGTGGCTTGCCCAGTTCAATCCCCAGTAAGGGGCATGCAGGAGGTGGCTTGTGATTCTTTATTTTTTTTAATTTTTCAACAGAGAGGAAGGGAGAGGGATAGAGAGTTAGAAATGTCGATGACAGAGGAACTTTAGTAATAATATGAACAATAGAGGTTTATTTAATAAATAAATAAATTAAATTAAATTAAAATAATGAAGTAAACTCCGGGGGGGGGGGGGCGGGGGAAAATATCGATGAGAGAGAAACATCAATCAGCTGCCTCCTGCACAACACTACTGCGTATGTGCCTGCAACCAAGGTACATGCCCTTGACTAGAATCGAACTCAGTCCGCAGGCCAATGCTCTATCCACTGTGCCAAACCGGTTAGGGCCCTTGTTGTGCTTAGTATGATCCCAGGATGCAACTCAGCAGCAACCATCAGGGAACTTCAAGGACAAGATTTATTACTCATGGGTCCTGGGGCTTACATGGCAGGCTCAGGGCCACTCGGCGTGATTGGGAGTGAGGGATGGCACGGACCTGGGGGTTCTGCCTTTATTAGGGACTGAGGGTGAGTCAGCTAGGGCTGCCTGGATTCTCTGTTGGCTTATTTAAAGCGTAAGAGCAGGAATGAGGGCGCGGGAAGGGAGGAGCAAGGTCACTCAGTGGTCAGTTACCTAGGTCACCGGGCTTTCTGAAAGAGAGTCCTTTATGTGTGGGAGCAGCGGGTTCCTATCCGGGTTGTCTTGCTAGTAGACTGGCATTGTGTTTATTCAAGCTGGTGGTTTTTTGAAATGGATGCTTCAGCTATCAGAAGCTTATTTTCAGGCCTCACGCCAGTGGTCGGCAAACCGCAGCTCATGAGCCACATGCGGTTCTTTGGCCCCTTGAGTGTTCTAACGCCACTTCTTCAAAATAGACTCGCCCAGGCTGAAAACCGACTTCCGCGCATGGGCCACGGAATTTCAATCGCACTGTACTTGTTCTGTGGAAGAGCCACACTCAAGGGGCCAAAGAGCTGCGTGTGGCTCGTGAGCCACGGTTTGCCAACCACTGACTTACACTATACTGTCCTTAGTTGGCACCTGGACCTGGGTTGATCAGGGCAAGGGCATAATGGCTCTGGATTAAAGTTGAGTTGTTTGCTATCTCCAGGAGCTAGCTAACCCCGAGGAACAGTCCCTGGTTAGAGAGACCCCAGTAGCCAGAGCATCGAGAAAGCAGAAAATATAGACCAGCTGCTGTGGCTCAGTGGTTGAGCATCGGCCTATGAACCAGGAGGTCACAGTTTGATTCCAGGTCAGGGAACATGCCTGGGTTGTAGGCTCAATCCCTAGTGTGGGGTGTGCAGGAGGCAGCCGATCAATGATTATCATAATCATTGATGTTTCTGTCTCCCTCCCTCTTCTCTGGAATAAAAAAAAAATTAAAAAACGAATACAGAAAATATAATTAATATACAGTAGGTCCTCGGGTTATGTCCGAGATCCATTCCTACTCGATGTAACTTGATTTTTGCTGTAAGTCAGAACCCACCTACATAAGCACCTACATCACTCACATGGAACTCACACACAGCAGAAAAGTGAAACAGTAAAAAAAAAAATTAAAAGAAAGATAAAAATTCCTGACCTTTTCTTGTGGTAAATAAATAATAAAAAACAGCCAAAACCAGTTTGATTCTGTGGATAGAGTGTCGGCCTGCGGACTGAAAGGTCCCGGGTTCGATTCCGGTCAAGGGCATGTACCTTGGTTGCGGGCGCATCCCCAGTAGGGGTTGTGCAAGAGGCAGCTGATCGATGTTTCTCTCTCATCGATGTTTCTAACTCTCTATCCCTCTCTCTTCCTCTCTGTAAAAAATCAATAAAATATATTTAAAAAATAAAAATAAAAAATAATAAAAAACATAAAGCACATATGTACATATGTGGTTAGAGCATTGGCCCATACACCAAAAGGTTGTGGGTTTTATTCTCGAAATGACAGAACTTTTATTTTTTTATATAAATAAATGGGAAATGACGTAACCCAAGGACTGCCTGTACATCCTAACTGCGGGGTGGTGAGGACAAGGCTCGTCTCTGACCCTCTTTCCTCATCACTGAATGGGGTGGCCAGCCCCCCACCCCCCAATAGCCTCTCTGGGGGGCAGTGGCCTCGCTGACATCCTTGTAGGTGGTTGGATATTCGTCATCAGCTGGCTCCATGCAGCCCAGTGCTGGGCGACACCCAGGCCCCATGCAGGGTCCTGTACAGGGTCTTGGGGCAGGAAGCTGGCTCCTGTTTGGAAGGAATAAAGCACCAGAAAAGCTTCCAGGAGGTGGTAAAGCTTGGCTTTGGGACGCTGCCCCCACTGGGGGAAGGTAGTGGAGGGGGGTTTTGGAGTCTAGGCCTTAGGTAGCATGTTAGGGGCTGAGCTCTCTGTGGGGCAGAGGGAGTTGAGGCTGCTGCCAGGGCAGAGGGGCCTTCTGCAGTACCAGGCCTTCCCTCTGCACCCTTTGGGTGCACCTAAGCTGGCCAAGACGTCCTGTCAAAGAGTGGTGCTGACAGGAAGGAGTTCTCACACAGAGAAGGGTTTTCTTTTTTTAAATTCTTTGATTAGAGAGAGAGAGAGAAAGAGTAAGGGAGAGAGAGAAACATTGATTTGTTGTTCCACTTATTTATGCATTCCTTGGTTGATTCTTTTTTTTTTTTTTAATATATTTTATTGATTTTACACAGAGAGGAATTGAGAGGGACAGAGAGTTAGAAACATCGATGAGAGAGAAACATTGTCCAGCTGCCTCTTGCACACCCCCCACTGTGGATGTGCCCGCAACCAAGGTACATGCCCTTGAAGGGAATCGAACCTGGGACCTTTCAGTCTGCAGGCCGACGCTCTATCCACTGAGCCAAACCGGTCCGGCCCTTGGTTGATTCTTGTATGTGCCCTCACCAGGGATCAAACCCACACCTTGTTTCAGGGGGACACTCCCAAATGAACTACCCGGCCAGGACTGAGAGCAGGGTTTCCTTGTTTTTAGGTTCCCGGGTTTTCTCCTTCGCTCAGGCATGGTCAGCTGCAGTGGGCCAGGGGCTATGAGGTGGTGGCAGGTGTCACATGCTACCTAGCTGTAGAGGGCCCCTTGGGAATGAGACCTTAATTTAAAGGTCATCCTTCAGCTGAGTCCGAGGTGACTGGCATGGCCGTCCTCTGGAAACAGCCTCCCAAAATGTCAAGAGACTGCTATCAGAACTGATTTCTTATCTTTATCCTTGTGCTTGGAATGAGGAACGAATAGGACCTTGACTTACCCAGGTCTTGATATGCTAAATCCCAGGAGTGAGGGAATGAATAGGACCTGGCACACCCAAAACTTCTTTGACCTTAAACCCCCCTCTGGAATCAGTAAGTGCGCTGTGTTGTCTGTGGTGAGTGTTGACTGTCCCTCTATCAGAATGATGGCTTCCATCCGGCACCCAGCTTTTGGATCTACTTCTGCCTCTTGTCTCTTTCTTTTACTTCTTAATCCCCAGCTCCTCCACTCAGGAACCTGTCCTTCTCCCTTTCAATGGCATCTAGTACATTCACAGTGTTGTGCAACCCCCATCTCTAGGAGTACAGGAACCTTTTTAAAAAAAAAAAGTATATATATATATATATATATATATATATATATATATATATATATATATATATATAAAATTGATTTTTTTACAG